ATACATACATACATACATACATACATACATACATACATACATACATACATACATACATACATACATACATACATACATACATACATACATACATACATACATACATACATACATACATACATACATACATACATACATACATACATACATACATACATACATACATACATACATACATACATACATACATACATACATACATACATACATACATACATACACACATACATACATACACACATACATACATACATGCATGCATGCATACATACACACATACATACATACTAGACGCACTCGCGCGCGCTCCGCGCGCGCTCTGTATCTAAGAATCTTCAGGCGTTGGGAAATCCATACTGGATCATGTTTGACTCCGCGATCTCCAACTACCCTGCTTGTCTCACTCATGACCTAACAGCGAAGACTGATAGGTTTCTAGTGGTGTCAAAAGAGAGCAGCAGATGACTCCACAGGGGGGTCGGGGCGGGACCCGGGGCGGCTGCCGCCGAAGCCCAAATCGCCTGGGACATCCTCGCAAAATCGCTCTTGGCGCTGCTAGAACTCCATTCCCGGCGTACATTTTGGATGCCCGGAGCCACTGTAGGCCACTTCGTGGTCTTCGAGTTCCCAGAACTCCATTCCCGGTGTACATTTTGGATGCCCGGAGCCAACTGTAGGCCACTTCGTGGTCTTCGAGTTCCCAGAACTCCATTCCCGGGCCACATCTTGGATGCCCGGAGCCAACTTTAGGCCACTTCGTGGTCTTCGAGTTCCCAGAACTCCATTCCCGGGCCACATTTTGAATGCCCGGAGCCAACTGTAGGCCACTTCGTGGTCTTCGAGTTCCCAGAACTCCATTCCTGGGCATGATTTTGAATGCCAACTGTAGGCCACTTCGTGTTCTTCGAGTTCCCAGAACTCCATTCCCGGGCCACATTTTGAATGCTGAGGCAGGCTGAGGCTGAGGCTGAGGCTGAGGCTGAGGCAGGCTGAGGCTGAGGCCGAGGCTGAAGGCAGACTGAGGCTGAGGCTGAAGCAGGCTGAGGCTGAGGCAGGCTGAGGCTGAGGCTGAGGCAGGCTGATGCTGAGGCAGGCTGAGGCTGAGGCTGAGGCTGATGCAGGCTGAGGCTGAGGCAGGCTGAGGCTGAGGCCGAGGCTGAAGGCAGACTGAGGCTGAGGCTGAAGGCAGGCTGAGGCTGAGGCTGAGGCAGGCTGAGGCTGAGGCAGTGACTGTGACTGCCGTTGCCACTGCGACTGTCATCGCGAATGCGACTACGACTGCGAGAACAGCAGAATTCTACAACTGGATTCTCATCTGAATCTTAAGGGGAATGCTTCCAGATATGCTCCTACACATCGCTGTTAGGTTGCTTTGCCGGGATAATTGTTCTTGTGGCTGTTGTCTACTGTCCTGCTTCTCCTTGCCTTCCCCTGCCTACTGTTGCTTCCTGAGCCCTCGTCCAGGCAGGCGAGAGGGTGCAGATGGAGAAGGCAAGAAATGAGCGGAAGGAAAGCGGAGGAATGAGACAGCCAAAAGACAGGACGGAGGAGATGGGAGGACGGAGGACTAGGAGGCATGACAGGTAGGCAGATAGGGTGATAATATGAAGGGAAGGAGGCAAGATAGGTAGGAATCAAGACGGAATGACGTTCGAAGGAAATGACACACGGACTGGAGGACGGGTTCAGCTTCCATTCAGCACGTCCTCTGGAGGTCCCCTCCTCCTGACGCGCCTTCTCCTTCTACCCTTCATTTCACCGCATCCTCCACTCTCTCGTCTTCTTCTCTTTGTGCCTTTACGACAATCCTCGGCCCAGTCGCCAGCGTGCCTGGGTTGTGGGTCAGAAGTCTTTTGGGTGTTCGTTGGGATGTCGTGTAAGGTTTTTCGGGGGCGCTTGGGAGGCAACTTTGAAGCTTCTTGAGCGCTGTTTTGAAGCCTTTTGGAGCGTCTTGGGGGACTTTGGGGGGCCTTCTGGAGCCTTTAGGAAACTCCTCGGAGCACCTCGGCGCGGAATGCTTGGGGCCTTCTTTGGGCTCTCTTGGGCTCTCTTGGGCGACTCTTGGGCCGTCTTGAGTCGCTCCTGGGCTGCCTTGGAGCGCTCTCTTTTTTTTGCAGCGTGCACGTTGGCTAGTGACAGGGCAGCCTCGGATCTAATGGCAGTAACTGGGGAAAGCAACACACGTGACAAGAGCGGGCATACACGTGCATGCTACCTACCTGAAGGGAAGAAAGGGAGCGAGGATGGTGCAGAGAGGAGGAGCGAGGAAGGGCGGGAGGGAAACAGAAATAGATGCAGATGCGCGCGGGAGATTCCACCAGAACTGCCTCGCACCAAAGGCAGGGCGCTGAACTGCTCTCCCGCAGGGTGAATGTTGAGACTGGCTGGGCAGCGCTTCGGGCTAAACGCTAAAGCTGCGAGCGCCCGCGCGCATCGCTCAAGAACTTCGGCCTTGCGCCTTCAGGAGTGCTCACGCCGCTCTGCGCGCGGCGCAGGTGCTCTGCCTGGGAGGCTGCGTGCTCCAATCGCGACTCCCACTCAACAAGTCGTGATCCTGTAGGTGGCTGCGGCCTCGCCAGATTGCATCGTCGAAGATATTCCAGAAGTTTAGGAAGCAGCTCTCGGAAGTGGAGCCGCCATCGTCGTGGACGCTCCGACTGTGTTCCGCGGTGCACACATCGTTGCACTTCTCTTGGGCCTGAACGTTGATTTCGCAACTGTCTCCACCAAACGAGTGGTGAAGGAACTGGCTAAGCCCGGTATGAATCACCGCCCCAGGAGGTGCAGCCGAGCAGGCCGCGATAAATCACGACGTCCATATCGACAAAAATGGGAGAGATTAAGAGCTTGCTGTCCGTATTCAGCGCCAACGAGTCCGCCCACATGCCGACAGACTCGCGCGAGGCCGAGGGGTACAGCATGTGCGGCGCGGCCCATCCAAGTATGCTCACGACGTTATCCTCCAGATGCACGACGGCATGCTGGCGAGCAAAGTCACGGTAACTGTCCCATGTCTGATCCACGAACGGGAGAGATGATATCGCTGGCTCGCCCGCAACCTCGTTATGTGTTTCGATGTTGCGGAGCGGCAAGTGGCTCATCTCGTCAAGCCGCCAGAAGAGCAAGGACTGGTGCGCAACGCCAGGACGGAGGTGTTCGAGGACGGTCTCGGCGCCCAGCTTGGACGAGAGGAACTGGTCAGCCATGGGCGCATATAATAACACCTTCACCACGCGCTTCTTATTATTCCCGGAGCCGCTGTTATAGACGTTGGCAAGGTCCTGGTGCATGTTACGGCAGCCGTTGAGTTTCCGCAGCTCTGCGCGAGCAGCACTTCGACCGCGAAGCCCGCCGCCTCCAGCGGCTTCAAGAGGTGCTTGACGTGGCTTCGGGACAGCGCCAACTGAGCCTTTGCAGCGCCAGCGCTGCAATCTTTGCAACTGACTTTTGAACTTCTGGTCCTGCTTGCTCGGCAAGGAGCCTTCCAGAAAGTAATTGCCATGCGCTTACTTTTGAAGCCTCTCGCGCTGCCTGACATGTTGATCTGTGAGCGGGGGTCACACAACTCCTGCGCCTTTGGCGTCCACACGGCTCTGCTGCGCGTCGTGGCCGGCCGACCAGGCGCCGCTCTGTGGCTGACAACGGGCGCCGGGTCCTTCTTCTGCGACGGCGCTTGCACTTCCGCGGGCAGGAAGCCCCGCGAGGCAGCAGAGCAGCTGCGGAACAGAAGCCGCGCGGCGACCAGGGAGCGCATCCTGGCCGACGCGTCGCTGCGGAGCGCACGTGTTCAAGCTGTGCGGCAAAAGTGTTAGTGCGGATGGTCCACGACTCTTGCCAAGTTTGAGCCACAAGGCTTGAGCCAAAATGGCTACGGAGGCTGCCTTGGAGCGCTCTTGGGGGCCTCTTGGGCTGTCTTGGGGCGGTCTTGGGGCCTCCATGGGTCGTCTTTAAACGTCGCGAAGGCAGAAACACCGTACATGCTAAAAACGCATGTTTTCCTACGGGAATAAAACAATATTGGCGTGTCGGGGCGCTCTTGGGAGTGCTCTTGGAGGCCTCTCGGTGCGTCTTGGGCAATCTCTTGGCACGTCTTGGGGCCATTTTGGGCGCCTTGGAACGGTTCTCCAACGATTCGGATCCCTCGTGGGTCATCGCGGTGGTTTTGGGGCCCCTCCTTGCACGTCTTGGAGGCGTCTAAGTGCCCTGCCACTGGCATGGAGATCCGAGGTTTGCCCTGAAGGCCCCCTGCTCTGGATCCTAGGTATGTATGTATACATACATGCATACATTCATGCATACAGACACACGCACATACATACGTACCGCATAGACCACCCTTCGGGTGATAAGGAGGCGAGGGGGGGGGACCACCGTCGCACTCGATCGATCTCACTATCGATCTCGCTATCGATCTGGCTATCGATCTCACACTCGATCTCACTAACGATCTCACTATCGATATCACAATCGATCTCACAATAGATCTCACAATCGATCTGGCTATCGATCTCACGATCGATCTCACATTCGGTCTCACGATCGATCTCACTACCGATATCACTATCGATCTCATTCGATCGATCTCACAATCGATCTCACAATCTATCTCACATTCGGTCTCACTATCGATCTCACTATATATATATCACAATCGATCTCACAATCGATCTCACAATCGATCTGACTATCGATCTCACTATCGATCTCACTATCGAAGTCATGATCGACCTCTCGTTCGATCTCACTATCGATCTCACTATCGATATCACAATCAATATCACAATCGATCTCACATTCGGTCTCACTATCGATCTCACTATCGAACTCACTATCGATCTCACTATCGATCTCACATTGCGTCTCACTATCGACCTCACTATCGATATCACAATCGATCTCACAATCGATCTCACATTCGGTCTCACTATCGATCTCACTACCGAACTCACCATCATCACCACCATCATCATCACCATCATCATCATCGTTGTCAACATCATCATCATCATCATAATCATCATCATCATCATCGTCGTCATCATCATCATCATCATCATCATCATCATCATCATCATCACCGACGGGACACCGGCGGGACTTCGGCGGGACACCGCGGGGCCCCAGCCGCCCGGAAGGGAATCATTTCGTCCGGCCGCGCCTCAGCCACACGGGACACCAGCGGGACACCGGCGGGACACCGCGGGGCCCCGGCCGCCCGGAAGGGAATCATTTGGTCCGGCCGCGCCTCAGCCACACGGGACACCAGCGGGACACCGGCGGGACACCGCGGGGCCCCGGCCGCCCGGAAGGGAATCATTTGGTCTGGCCGCGCCTCAGCCACAGGAGACTTTCTCTCGCCCGCCCACGCAGCTTCGCCTCACCCGCACGGCACGCACGAACACGAAACCGAAATCGATTTCCCGGTGGGGGGGCTCTCCGTTCCACTTCAATCTCACCCCCTGACCTCCGACGTACGTATGTAACTACCTGTTTGTATATCTATACACGTATATTTATATTCTATACATGTATATGTATATATATATACATTTATAAACAATGAATATGAATGTACATATTTGTTTATACATATATATATATATATATATATATATATATTTATGTACGGATGTGTGTGTATGTACATATACTGTATATATACATATATATATATACATACATATATACATATGTGGTAGAACCACGCGCGCTTCGCGCGCGCTTCGGTTCTAACAGGCCCCAAGCGGCGCAAGCCCAAGGAGACCCCCTCCGTAAGACAGGCTGGAGGCGATCACTAAGTCACAGACTCGAGCCCCAGCGTACGGAGAAGCCGGAACACGTCCCGGGTGCTACCATACGATTCAAAAGGACATTTGGGGCAACTTTGTGCGAAACGATCCGCGGACGGCCGCGAGAAGGCGATCAATCATGTTCCCAATCAACTTCCTGGACAACTTTCTGGCAGCGTGGTGGTACTTCGGAGCCTCCGAGACTCTCGGGCCCATGATGAACCATGTCCCCGGAAGGCTTTCTGAGGACATGATTTGTTGGGGTGTGTTGGGGGGCCTCTTGGGAGTTCCCTGCGGGCCGTTGGGGGCATTTTGGGGCTTCCTGGGGGCCTCTCGGGGGCCTCATGGGGCTTCTTGGGAGACTCTTGGTGGCCTCTGGGGGCCTCCTGGGGGCCTCTAGGGCCAGAAGCCTCGAAATATCGGTTCGTGGTCCCCCTCTGGGCCCCCTCTTGGGGCGTTCTTGGGGCACACTTGGGTTGTCTGGGGAGCCCTCTTCGGGGCATCGTGGGCCGTCTTGGAGCGATCTGAAGGGCCTCCGAGGCCGTGAGGGAGCGTTGGGGAGCGGGAAAAGCGAGAACGCCCAAATCCTTCAAAACCTCCAGAACATGGATAAATGTTGCCTCCCAGGGCCCTCTTGGGGAGCCTCTTGAGGCTGTCCTGGAGCGTGTTGGAGTCCTCGTCGGCCGTCTTGAGGGCATCTTGGGCGTCTTCGGGCCTCTTGGGACCGTCTTGGGCCCTCTTGGGGCCCCCTTGGCCTGTCGAAGCCCGTTTCGGAGCGGGCCCGGGCCGTCTCGGGAGCTCTGGGCCCATCCCCAGAACTCCGAGGGTGGCGCCCATGGAGGGTGCAGGCACCGGCCAGGCCCCCCCCCTTGGCCTACTCCGATTGATACATAAAGCGATCGATAGATAGATCAAATGACATATATATATATATGATTGAGGGAGAAATAGGCTCTATGCGTCCCTTGGACTCTGCTTCAGCAAATAATTTGAATAATTTGAATAGCGTAGGCGTGTCTGTCAGCCGAGCCACCTGCCAGCATATTTAAATAATTTAAATAATTTAAATAATTTAAATAATTTAAATCGCGCGTGATGATTTAAATTATTTAAATTATTTAAATTAGTTGAATTATTTAAATTATTTAAATATGCTGGGAGGCGGCCCAGCAAGCTGACTGACCACCACGATTTGAATTAATTCAATTATTTGAATATCGCCTCGTCGAAAATAATTTAAATAATTTAAATACAATAGGCGTGTCTGTCAGCCGAGTCGCCTGCAGCATATTTAAATAATTTAAATAATGTAAATAATTTAAATAATTTAAATAATTTAAATAATATACTATTTAAATCGCGCGAGATAATTTGAACTATTTAAATTATTTAAATTATTTGAAATATTTGAATTATTTAAATATGCTGGGACGCGGCCCAGCAAGCTGACCGACCATCACGATTTGAAATATTTAAATTATCTGAACGTCGCACCAGCGGAAATAATTTAAATAATTTAAATAGCGTAGACGTGTCTGTCAGCCGAGCCGCCTGCCAGCATATTTAAATAATTTAAATAATTTAAATGATTTAAATAATTTAAATAATTCAAATCGCGCTGGATGGTTTAAATTATTTAAATTATTTAAATTATTTGAATTATTTAAATTATTCAAATATGCTGGGACGCGGCTCAGCAGGCTGACAGACCCTCAGGATCTGAATAATTATAATTATTTGAATATCGCATCGGCGGAAATAGTTTAAATAATTTAAATAGCGTAGGCGTGTCTGTCAGCCGAGCCGCCTGCCAGCATATTTAAATAATTTAAATAATTTAAATAATTTAAATAGTTTAAATAATTCAAATCGCGCTGGATGGTTTAAATTATTTGAATTATTTTAATTATTTGAATTATTTAAATTATTTAAATAATTTAAATAATTTAAATAATTCAAATGATTCAAATAATTTAAACCAGCCGCAGCGATTTAAATTATTTAAATTATTTAAATTATTTAAATTATTTTAATTATTTAAATATGCTGGGATACGGCTCAGCAGGCTGACAGGCCCTCACAATTTGAATTATTTAAATTATTTGAATATCGCTCGATAGAAATTATTAGAATAATTTAAATAGTGTAGGTGCGTCTGATTGCCGAGCCGCCTGTCAGTATATTTAAATAATTTAAATAATTTAAATAATTTAAATAATTTAAATAATTTAAATCAGCCGCAGCGATTTAAATTATTTGAACTATTTAAATTATTTAAATTATTTAAATATGCTGGGAGGCAGCCCAGCAAGCTGACCGACCATCACGATTTGAATTATTTAAATTATTTGAATATCGCCTCGGCGGAAATAATTCAAATAGTTTAAATAGTGTATGCGTGTCTATCTGCCGAGCAGGCTGCCAGCATATTTAGATAATTTAAATAATTTAAATAATTTAAATGATTCAAATAATTTAAACCAGCCGCAGCGATTTAAATTATTTGAACTATTTAAATTATTTAAATTATTTAAATATGCTGGAAGGCAGCCCAGCAAGCTGATCAACCATCACGATTTGAATTATTTAAATTATTTGAATATCGCCTCGGCGGAAATAATTCAAATAATTTAAATAGTGTATGCGTGTCTGTCTGCCGAGCAGCGCCAACACCCGATGCCTTACGATCCTTTGCAGTCAATTGGCTGTGGGATAATGACATGAGAGAGCTGGCCGAATGGCATGAGCGATCTGAACGATTAGACTGGACAACTGGGCTGCAAGGCTGACCTGACCGAGCGGGGCGGGAAGCGCCTTGGCTAGTTAATTCGACATGCAAATATTTTCCACCGTCAGATCTGAAGAACGAATGCTAATCAAAACTCTCAAATGTCGCGTGAGAAGCGCCCCAGAAGCGGCACGAGGTCTGAACGTTTGCCTGACCCTAGACAACCCTCGCAACCGCATTAAACAGCTGGGCCTGTTGCTACATCTTAGATATCCACAACTGAAATGCTTGTACA